TTCTTGCTTTGGAAGTCTTTGCCAACCATCTAGGTTTACAAACATGCATAACTCCATAGCAGCAAAGTTGTTTGCTCCTCTGTGCACTGAAACTGTTCTCTCTTTTCAACAACATGACATAAAAATGCTACATTAACCTTAGATCTGTTTTTTTTTTTCTTTAATAGTCTGATTATTAGTCAGTCGATAATTGCACAGCAGAAATTTAGCTTCTGTTTAAACATGAGCTTCCTCAAAGGCTTCTCCAGCTGGATTTATGGACAAAAACACAGCCCTCATGACTTGCAAAAAAACTACTTCTAYTTGAATCTTTTAATAGTGCTTTTGACACACGAATAGAAATGCAGCAGTGCTGTCAGGAAAAATAACATCTCCAAAGTATGGTATTGATTACAGCGGAGCTGCTGGAAATTCTCGCCAGCCTACGTGAGGGGGGCATGTGGATTTTGCCAGCCACGCAAAATCAAGTTTTTCCCCGCTGGGCGCTGCGGCACGCAGAGCAGGCGCTGCCACCCGCAGCCCGGCCACAGCCGCAAACTTCCCTGCGCTTTTCCAGGTCRCTCTGCTCGAGTTTTTGAAACGCGGCTTCCAATATAAAGTTTTCTTATCTTGAAGCAGTATAAACAATCTAGCACCTCCACAAGAAACTCTGACGAGAAAACCTAGCCCAGTTTATTTTTAATAAAAGGAGGACTATGCTATATAATAACTCTTCCTGCCACATCCATTGAATCTGCTGAAATAAAGATTGATGCCTGGATATTTGTAGACACTTCTACCACAGAAGGCAATATTTCTCTCTCTTTTTTTTTTTTTTTTTTTTGGGAAAAATCTTCACTACCTTCTCCCTGGCATTTTGCAGTAATTTGAAGAAAGTAACTGCACCATTTATCCTATCATCTAGTAGGTATCTGCATGTTTTAATTTTTAAATAATTGACAAAAAAAAAAAAAAAAATCCAGGAGATTCATGAGATTTCTGACAGTCTGGTATCACGAGATATCAAAAGACATTCAGAAATTAAACCTGTAGAAATATACGATACAAAGATTTTCTCTGCTCCTTCTGGTAGGGGCTCTACACAGACACCCMATGCATGGTTCCACTTCTGTGCATGTAAATAGGGGAGCTTGGAGAAGAGCTGGAACTGAGGACAAAACGCAGAGTAGCAGACRGATCAGGCCGAGGACACGTTGACACCAGCCTGACTCACCTATGGGGTTCCCTTGACTTTGGGGGAACTAAAACACTACTCGTTCCTGAAGGACTTAGCACGTGCAGACATATGGAGACCGTATCTCAAAGCTCATCTGCTCATACTGGCACCTACAAAAGCTTTACCTATGGAACCGGTTTGCTGCAGCCACCACAGAGCAACTCATTACACTGCAATTTAAAAAAGGAAGATGCTGCCCAAAGCAGACTGTGGTRGATGATACATGCAGTTAGCCTGGATGACTGCAGTCCTTGGATGACACAGTATTAAAGTATATATTCAAGAAATACAAATTTTATTCCATCTCTTTGAAAATATGGATTGTGCAGCTGAAGCACTTCGACACAAATTTACAAGAGCAGGTTTCAGGGTAGGTATGCTCACAATGCTGAAGCAACCTGCACCAGCCTGTTTCCGAAACCCCTCCGTGATACCTGTGAGCGTTGCTGCTGCAGATACACTCCGTGCACTTAAAGCAAGTGCACCCACATAATACTGAACATGTAGAACAGACCGCTGCCCCAGCCCCAGCAGAGCTTGGGGTGTATCGCACACGGCATCATTCCTGACTCCAACCTTCCCGGATTCCCAGGGAACAGAGCGAGGCGCCCGCTCCCACGGCAGAGCCGAGCCTCGGTTCCGGGGAGGCCACGAGCGCCGCCTCCGTCCGTGCAGCCAGGGTAGGGGGTCTAAAGAACAAGTCAGGCCCCAAATCAAACATCTAGACTGGAACAGCAGCGAGTGCTTTCAAGCTACCGCACGGAGACCGCCAACAGTGTGCACTGCATTGAAATTGCCTGAAAAACGTGCAGTCAGCAAGAAAAAAGTTTTCAAAAACAGAGTTGCCTGAAAGGTCCTGTAAGGAAAGCAAGCTCAAGGGAAGGGGTCTGCTCCCCAAACAGAGATCATCATTACTACGCTATGTGCCTGGACCTTAAAACCCGGCCAGTTGCACCAGGAGCAGAATAGCTTTAAATTATTACAATTACTTTCATCTCGTTAATGACCAATTCCTTCGTGCTCTGAATTGTTACTTTGTTGCCTCTTTTAGTCTCAATAATAATCTGTGTTCTTAATTTTTTAGCAGAGCCATCACAAACCCCCTCGTATCTCAGGTGATTAATTGTACAGCATCTTTCAAGCTGTAAAGGAGCCCGAGATCCCCCCGTACAAATCGTGCCATTAAGGAGTCATTCTGAACAGGTCTTTCTACAACTACCAGCTTTGTCTGACAGATTGCAAGTCTTTAGTATTTACACATTTCAGAGGTTTACTTATTTTTGTTGTTAAAAAAACCCCTAAAATCTATATTGATTGTTACATGTAATTCTACGTTAAAAGTCCCAAGAACTGTGGAGCAGAATACCAATATTTATTGCTAGACTTGTGCTCATTATGGTTCTCTCTGACAAGGGTCCATTAAAATCAATTTTTATGTTTCTTATTTTTTTTTTTTTTACGCAGTGTTCTTACCATAGCATTTATTAGCCAGTTAGAAGGAACTCCGGGCACTGATTTGTTTTTATTTTATTCTGTCAGAAATAACGAGCCTGGTTTTTAACACCGATTCACCAGCAATCAGCAGAAGAGATTAAACATTACACTCCAGCACAAACATTCACAGATGTCTTTAAAACCTTAGGGCTTTATCACCAGGAAAGACACAAAAAAGAAGCCCCACCTTTTGCCTGCCTTTTGAATTTAAGTTCTTAGGAAACTGCAAGAGCATCCTCCTCACCACTTAGCTTCTGAACCACGCGTGACCTGGGAGAGCAAAATTCCCTCTGTACCACACACAGGGGCGCATATAAATCCTGTGATCCGGGAATTTCAAAGCACTCTCGAGATGCTACCGAAGCCTCCACGCCTCCGAGATGGGGAACTGAAGTCACCTCCCCGCTGAGGATGCTGAAAGATCGCGGTGAGGAGGGAGCCACCGTGTCCATAGGAGATCTCCCTTCCTCCACTGCTGTCCTGCAGAGCGTTCCTCAACCAGCCCATCTGACCGTGCTCCAGGAGAGCCAACGGCAAGACCAGGAAATGAAGGAGAAGAAAGAGAAGCTCTCTTCATAAAAGGACAAAACCCCTTTGCTTCTTAGCTGGGCTGATCTAAGGATGCGAGAGACACACTGTTTGGCAGAAGCAGCATCTTTTATTTAAGCAGGAAAAATACACTGGGGTAGAAAAATGGCCATGGGTACATTAAGGACAAGGTCGTAACAACAGATCTTGCTTCTTACCTCTCCAGGAGGACTTCAAGAGCACACCAAAAACAACTGCACATCCCTCACCCACCTTCTTGGTCWCTACTAATTACTAAGCCCTTAACTATTTTTTTCTTCCCATAATCTGTCTCTTCAATTGTGGAGCCCTCAGTTTTCAGTTCCCACAACTCCATGAATGCTCCTTGGTCTTCAGCTTTTGTTTTCTTGCCATGCTCCTTACTTCTTAAAGAAGAACAAAAGCCTCATGCCRGCCACCACCAAGACATTACAGACCTTTACACTGGTTCTTCACCCACTTGCTAGAGGTCTCCTCTAGGGTGAAGAGCCCTGGTCTACCTGTTCCTCCACAGCAACTGCAAACATCAACTGCAAACCTATCTGAAATAACTGCTCTGTTTTCACCCCTCATCAGCAGAAACCCAACACTCAAAGCATATATGAAGGAAACAGAAGTAGTTATTTCCATATTGCTGAAGTTGGCAAAACGCTCTGTCATGTCTAGAGGCTCAAGGGTTTTAGAATTAGAGGCAAAAACACATATTTCAACCAGAATATATATTAGGCTTCATATTTATGATTAATGTTACACTTAAAAAAAAATCACAGGGACGTTAAAAATAGAAAAGGAGATAAGTGCAAATCAAAGAAGCATCTGAGAAGTGAAGAACAGAGGAAAAAAGGACAATATTGAGACAAGTCAGACTTGTTCCAGTCACAGCAGGAAACAAAATTCTACAAAAGACTGTGGCAAAGGCTGCAACTTTAGTACCAGAAAAAGAGCTGAAGGGACCAGTCTTAATAAATCATCTAGCAATTTTGGCAAAGGAAAGGCTGGCCAGTCTTTGTGCTGAGGAGCAGGGTGTCAATATGTGCACGGCCAGCCCTATGTGTGAGCCACACGCTCCGCTGCCAAACCCTGTCCTCTTGGAGGCCACAAACAGGCAAAACGAGCTGGAGTTGGCCGAGGAGGCCACTACTGAAAGCCTCTCCATGAGCTATGCAGCCCAGGCAGCCCTGATTCTGCCCTGTTGGAGCAGCCGTATCTGCACACATGTTCTCCCCATGCTGCTCCCCAACCAAACGAGGAGCTGCAGCTTGAATGCAGGTGTCAATCTTGTCCTCACCTGTCCAAACTGGAGAGAGCAACTGCAATAGCAGGCACTGCCACACACGTGGGCACGAGAGCAGCACTGCTGAGGAGTCCTCACGTCTACAAGACGCACAAAATACACAAGGACATCTTCTCCCATAGTGAGCAGTGCTTACGGCGTGCCCAAAGGCAGGAAATACAACATACATTCAAAACCTGATTTAAACACTATTATTTCCTGGAATGTTTCTTGAATAATACCAAAGATGCAATAGAGAAAAACAAATGTATCTTGGAACTGCCACTCCTTCCAGGTACTCAAGGCTGCTTTTCCCTCTGCCAGGAGAGAGTGAGATGTTTCCAATATGGCTAATAAAAATAAGCAAGCATAGCTGTTTCTTAAATGCCCTCAAGAATCTGTTTTCTCTACCATGTTCTTAAACATGGGATCGGTAGGACACTAACTTACCTACTTGGCAGCTCAGTCATTTTTGGAAGCYTTATTTCATGCACGCCTTTTTCACACCCAAAGATTTCCAGGTTTCCCACAGGGCTGGGCAGAACTGTATGAACCACCTTGCACTGGGGTTCTCTATTTTTTACTGCGACCTGTTCAAAACAAAACAAAAACAAAACACACAAAAACATCACAACTCAATCGTGTGCATGTTCTCCTAAGGAACTTGTGTAGTTTATAAAAGTAACTTAAAAAAAAGCAAGAAAACAGCACATTTCAAGTTTCTTCCACTATAACTTTACTTTCAAAACTCTGTCTAACAATTAAAGTAAAGCATTTTGTCTGTTTTAAGAAGTCAGCACTAAATAGTATCTAAATCAAAGCCTTAAAAAATGTTAACCAACTGCACAGTGACCTTCATAAAACTCGCATGTAACAGCAGTTTCATGGTTGGTTTGTCAGCCAGCATCCAAAGCGAAGCGTTCTGACACTGATTTCAAAAGGATTATGATGACAATAAAGCATATTCACTGGCTTACAGTAGCAACATTATGCAAATAACATCAGAAACACACACAAAGTGCCTGCTGGAAAAAAAATATGGAAAAAAAAAAAATCAGTCATCGCTTAATAAAGGAAACATTTTTTTATTCCCAGGGTTGCTAAGTTGAGCTTTTGCGGTTCCTGACAGAATGTGCTTGTAAACAGACACGAGGCATTTCTGAATGCTCTGCAAGGCCACCACCACCACACAGGCCATCCAAGCAGGTCCGTCAAACCCCGCCTGCCTGCAAAAACTTTCGCAGAGACACACTGTTGAGCTGCACCCCGTTTGCCTTGTCACATCCTGGGAAAAAGAACGGAGAGCAAGGACAGAAAAGGCTTTTTWAAGAGTCACCCGGACACCAATGCTTAGGTGGCGATGCCAAGAATCTTAGTCCTAAACCAGTAAGACTCTCTGCATAAACTGTCGTTTGCCTCATCCTAATCCCCCTTTTTGGTAGCACTCAGGAYGAGCAGAGTTCCCAATTCCATGGCAGGACAGCGAGTGCAGGAGGYGGGAAGCGCTTCCGAGCGGCTCCGTGCAGCGAGGGGCTCAGTACACAATATCCTTAAAGACACTAAAATGCTAAAGACACCGAAACGCCTCTAAAAGGGAAACCCACCTTACCGCAGCGCTCCGGTTTCCAAAGCAAACGACTCGGCCACCCAGGGCACTGTGTGTTCTCACAGAATTGCTTCCTTGGCTCCTAAACCCTCCTACACTGACTGCAGATGAAGGGAGCTGGGACAGGCAGCCTGCTTTTGCAATGTCTTCTTACAGGACTAGCAAATAAATGTAAGAATTAATRAAAACCATACAAACCTATTACCACCTCTTCTTTTTAAGGCAGGGAAGGAAGGCAAACTGCCCTATGCAAGACTCAGTGATGCTGCGCAAAGCGTGCAGGAGCAYTGACACCCAGTATTTAAATGGTGCACAAGCAGCGCGGGGAACCAACACAGGACGAGGTCCCCTCAGATCCGCCCTGGCACTGCAGGGCACCCGGGTACTGCCAGGACCCATCTCCTGCACCCCAATTCCTGGGCACTGCCGCCAATCCGCACCGCGCCACACAGGAGTCCRCTTCCCAAAGCACCTCATCGCACTGCTTGTTACTTGGAAAACAYCCCGGTGGAGCCCTAGGGAAAAAAACTAAACAGTTAAGCTCAAGTTTTTGTTGTCTTATGGATTTTTCTAAAAAAAAATGGAATTTTATTCACCAGAATATTAGAATTCTTCTTGCAGGAAGAGCCTATTTTCACCTCGACTTTTGCCTTGGTCCTTCTCCTGTTTCAAGCCGAGGACACACAAGGATTCTGCACCTCAAGGCAGATGTCTTAATAAAAAAGCAATGTAAAAGTTTACATATTTAGAAAAATGGCATGTATTATTCTTTTTTAATTTGTGTGACAGCCCTGCACTAGGCGCTCTGAGCTGCTATTGCATTTTCTACAACTATTTAGTTGTAAGACAACAGCTTTCTCATTCCAACAATACACAGGACATGGCAAAGCTAAAGAAACCATGAATAACGAGTTAACACCAAGTTAACAGGAGCTTTACAGACACTGTTTATAGACGAAGACCTTGCCACTTTAGCAAACACAACTAGTATTTTCAGCCTTTCTTACCATACACATCAGGCAGTAGTATTTAGGAGTTTATATCTAAGAATAAAGCTGTGCTTGGTACCACAATGCCCAAATACACATGCAAGCAGACAAGAGCTTCCAACGTGAAGGTCACTGYACAGATGCTACAATATCCTTTATCCATGTATTAAAGTGTCTTTTCCCTATATATCTAAGCAGCTACTTAGACGGGCCACAGAAAACATACATACCAAGACMGGGTACTGCAGACAATGCTGTTTTAAAATAAAAATGACTTTTTAATTAAGACTTAAAACATCACAACTTTCAAACACACATTAGACTTCATTTTACCAGCTGAAATTACCTAGTACTCAGACTATTTACCGCAAACAGAAACCTAACACTGGCCTAACACTGCACATAATCTTCACCTTTTAACTCTGCCCCATGGTTCAGCTCAACCCTCTTGCTGCAGCCACGGTTTTCAGTACCAACGTGTCCTTTTTGATTAAAAGCAGATTTTATTGAAGTTTTCATTAATGTAATTGCACTGTGAGTTGTCTTTCATACTGCAGTAAATAATTTGGAATTGTTTTCCACTTTGCACCGTTCCCTAAAAYGCAGCGCTCCGCTCTTTATTACAGCCGGAGCCCCACGCAGCCCGTTCCCTCATCCGCAGCGAAGAACGGACACATAAACAAAAAAATAGCGTGCAGAAAAAGCTCTAGGATCAAGAGGGTTCAAGGAGCCTGTGCCAAAGTTTCCGTGCGTCTCCGCTCTCCCGGGAGGTTCGTGTTTTCCAAAAGGGGAGGCAGGGCAGCCAACCCCATGGAATTTCCTGTGCTGCAGCCGCGCTGTGCCCCTAAATTACTGGTATTGAGCTGCAGGGGGAAAAAGAATGCAAGTCATCTCCACGAGCATCGCGGCCCCACTGCTGTGGGATCTTCGCTTCAAGATCCCTCTGTGCGTGTCGGTCCTGAGCCCCGAGGAGCAGGGATCTGTCCCCGTCCCCATCAGAAGGGCTGGACACAGGATCTCCTGGCTAGGAGGAGCGGAGCTGCCGCTGATGGGTCTCCCTTGCAGAGCCCTCTATTTATTTCACTTTGTTTTAACAAGAACATGTTAGTACACCACACCACTACCAAAATATTAATTTATTATGACAGTCTCTGCCACCACCTACCTCTCACTATAAATATTTTGATTAGGGTACCACGTGGCAGTGCTGCAAATGAAAGCGCTGTGATTTTCTTTTCCTCACGTATTTCTTCAAGAACCAATGCAAAATCTCACTGCTAAATCTAAGGTAACTTCTCCTCACATATAATCTTTTTTCTTTTTTTTTTGAACTAAATTGTTCAAACAGATTAATCAGTGAGCTTTTAAAGCTGTCTCCAAAAATAAATGCATTTAATAATTCGGGGTTAACAAACTTAACTGCTCAGTTAAAATACACACAAATGTAAATACAGCCACTGGGATGAAGTGGCATTAAAATTCTTGTTCCCCATTACATTTAGCATTCCTCAGACCCAGAGAAGGTAATGTTTCTACCAGTTCTGAAGGAGGTCCCCAAGCACCACTGCTGACTGACTATGCACATTTAAAGGAATTCAGATTAATCTGATTCTTCCACAGCATGAAGATTATTATTACTGAACAAACAAACCCCTCCACACACAGATGTCAAGCCTGGGTTTCTCATGCAATCTTGGTCCCATGCTGGACTAGCCTAGAACTACAACACGCTGGCTCAAAAACATAAAAATTGCCCGTTGCAAAATTTCCTGATTTCACCGCAGTCATTGCGAGCACAAATCACAGGGATTCTTAGCCGCAAAGCTGAATTTCTGGACGTGCTTGTCTGAAAAAGGCAAAGCCAGGGCAGTTTGGGAGCTCTGGCACTGTCTCGGTAGGGCACTGACCTGCTCACTTACCTCTGTCTCTCCCTAAATACATCCTGGATGTATCTCTACTATGTCCTAGCCCCTCTGCCTACAGCATGAACTATAATTCTCAGACATCTATGTGGTTTCTGGGCATTAGTGACTTGCCAGAAAGCAATACCAGCACTTGTTGTTTCCGAGATGATGGGTAAATGCTGAGGAATTGCTTCTTCACTCTAATTCCAAGAAGGAAATACCACTCCTGGACTTCTAAACAAAGGGTTATTGTAGGGTTTTCAGTTTCTATTTATTCTAGCTGTAGATTAAAGTTAACTCAGTGAAATCCTGAAACACTGGGTTTCAATTTCAGATGAACCCTGCTGTTGTATCTCAATAGCTTGACAATTTGCTCCATCTTTTTGATTCTGTTGCTACAGCAGGTCTTCCTGACTCAGTAAGTTTACATCCTTCTCACAAAATATTCTTATTACATGAAATGGATTTGTCAAGGCAGAAAGCATGAGGGTCTGCCTTAAGAAATAAGTTGGGAAGGATCTGCCTCCATCAGCCTCATCCCCACCGCAGGAAGGTCACAAGAATGGTTAAACCTTGACCATTTAGAGATCCCTCCGATTTTGGGGCATAAAGATCTGGTGCCGACTCTGTAAACATGTTCCCGGGCACAGAAGCTATAAAWGCTGGTGTCTGGTAAACTCATTTACTCAGTACATGCTTTACATATGCAGGTATGGTATTACAGGTGGAATAAAGCAGCACAGTGGTAAGCAAAGACATTAACAGAATCACAGAATCCTTAAAATTGGAAGGGACCCTTAGAGACCATCCAGTGCAACCCCCCTGCACATGTAGGGTCACAGGGACAGAGCCCACAGTCTCTGTCATATCAAAAAAATAAAAAAAGAAAGAAAAAAAAAGTCTATTAAACTATAATTCTATATAATATACAGGTATTATATAAGTATATGCTATATATGTTATCTATGTTATATGTTACCCATATGTATATATGTTATCCATGTTATTATATAACATGGAAATATAACTATGAAAAGTCWCTCATTCTTACTCTAAAAAGCAACTGTGAAAGAAAAGTGCACAGGTTCTAC